CTAAAATTTCTCTTTTATTATTACGTATTTTTTCTCTTTTAAGAGTAATATTAAAAGGACGAAAACATAATGTATTTACCATAACAGCTCTTAATTCTTTGACAAAGTCAAAAACCACATACAATGTGAATAAAGATATTGTAAGATTAAATGTCCATCTCAGCTCCTGCCGTCAGACATGAAACCCGATGCCAATTGGGCAACAGCTCTTGTAGGAAAATCTACGTCGTGTGAAAATAAGTCTTTTGCTATTTATAACGAGGCTTATCTATCATGTGTTCTTAGGGCATAAAATAAAAAATAATAATTATATAATTATTATAATATTTTTATCTTAAAAATAATAAAATTAATTTTATTTTAATTACAAAAGTTATGTATTATAAATAATGTTATAGGAATAATTTTTTTGTCTTATTTTTTATACAAATTTTACGTGTTATTAAATAAGTTAAAATATTTAATATCACGGGTCTCATATAAATTAAAAGAATTAATTATTTTAATGACACGTTAAATTGTACAAAAAAAATAAAGTAAAAAAATTATACAAAAATCATTTTTCATTTTTTATTAATTTGTTTTAAAATTAAAATAACAATTTAATTTTTTAATATAAAATACCATATATTTTTAAAAAATTTATAATTATTACCTAATAATTAAATTTTATCTTATATCTTTAAAATATAGAATAGATAACTCTTTATAATTTAGAGTTGTATTCGGTGAGAGATTTGATTAAGTCCAGGTTTAATTAATATATTAAAGAAACAGATATGTAGTTGAACTGGGTTTTGTTCACCAACCCTGCAGCTTCCTCTCTCTCTCGGAGGACATAACATTTCATGTCATCGACCAAATATGTTGATCATGAAATTATTAAAAAATCATGAGCAACGAACTTTTTATCGAAATGATAAAAAAAATTAAAATTTAAGATTAATAATATAATATAAATTATATTATTTAAAATATTAAAAATTAAATTTTAATTTATTTAATAATTAATTTTTTTATTTTTTAAATCTATAATGTTATATATATTAATTAATTTAATACTATAATTTATATTATACCATTAATTTTAAATTTTTATTGTAAATTTTTGCCTTTCCTATACTTATTTCCTTTTTTTTTTCTTTTTTTTCTGTCGGTGTGCCGTTAGGAGAAGGATTCTATGATCATTGGCTGCAAAGGAAATTTATTGGTCCTACCAACGCGAAATATTTATTATTTTTTTTATTCCTGTTCGATTAAAATAATTATTAGAGAACTCTTGGGTAGAGAGCAATTGGTAGCTCATCGCATAAGAGTACTCATAGGCTTCGAGTTCGAGGTCATCCCCCTCCCCTTTCCTTTGGATTGAGTTTCCCAACCCTTTGGTAACCTGATCAAAAGAAAATAATAATTATTTTTATTTTTATTTTAAATTATTATTATGTTTCTAATTTTTAAGATACATAAATATACTTTATTATTATT